TGTCAGTAATATTGTCGCATAAGTTAAAAAGTAACTGAGATATTAATATTGTTATCGGATAAGATGAAAAGAGACTGAGGGATAAATCATGTATTCCTTAAGCAATGCTCACGAATTTAATTAAAGGCAGGCACGTGACGTTGTAGACCTACTTTCCTAATAAATTTAACAAACAAAAGCATATGTAACTGTTGAGAATAACTTGTCTCACCGGATTTTTTTCTACAGGTTATTAGTATGTTCATTCCTAGCGTTGCGTAAGAGATGCAAGCAATGAGGGAGCTTATGTAGACACTGAAGGACTCACGTGTTAAACCCTCTTGGACCTGGGGTTTAAGTTTTACTTTCTTTGCAACATAAGATCACTTGTGAGAAAACTTTTGAAAGAACAGGTTTTAAACAAACTAAAATAGGATTCGAAAAATTGATTAAAAGTATTCACAATTCTGAAATATATGCAATGTTTACCTTTATGATCGTTTTATATACAAAAAAGGACACATTTGAGGTATTTTATTAGTCTTTTATAAAGTACATGTGAAGACTCACAAGTTCGAGATTATCCTAATGTGTTTGGCAGTGAGTTCAAGATTATCATAATTTGACAGGCAATGCATTGGAGATTATCTCAACTTTTGTTTGTTGAGGTAGTGAGATGAAGATTATATTAGCTAGGAAGTGAGTCTTGGATTGTCTTAATCCGTTAAGAAGTTCATTCTTGATTAACTGACGTGAGTCTGGGTTGTCTTAACCTGTTAGTAAATGAGTCCGGAAATGATTTAACTTGCTCGGAAGTGAGTTTGGGAATATCGTAACCTGTTAGGAAGTGAGTCTTGAATTGTCTAACCTACTAGGAAGAGATTTCAGGATTGTCTTAACCTGCTAGGAAGTGATTTTAGGATGTACTTAACCAGCTAGAAAGTGATTTCAGGATTGTCTTAACCTGCTAAGATGTGATTTCAGGATGTACTTAACGAGCTAGAAAGTGATTTCAGGATTGTCTTAACCTGCTAAGATGTGATTTCAGGATTGTCTTAACCTGCTAAGATGTGATTTCAGGATTTACTTAACCAGCTAGGAAGTCATTTCAGGATTTACTTAACTAACTAAGAAGTGATTTCAGGGTTTACTTAATCAGCTAGAAAGTGATTTCAGGATTTACTTAACCAGCTAGAAACTGATTTCAGAATTGTCTTAACCTATTAACAAGTGATTTCAGGATTTACTTAACCAGCTAGGAAGTCATTTCAGGATTTACTTAACTAGCTAAGAAGTTATTTCAGGATTTACTTAATCAGCTATAAATTATTTCAGGATTTACTTAACCTGGTAAGAAGTGATTTCAGAATTGTCTTAACCAGCTAGGAAGTGATTTCAGGATTTACTTAACCAGCTAGGATGTGATTTTAGGATTTACTTAACCAGCTAGGATGTGATTTTAGGATTTACTAAACCAGCTAGGATGTGATTTTAGGATTTACTTAACCAGCTAGGATGTGATTTTAGGATTATCTTAACCTGCTAGGAGGATTGAGACCAGGATTGTCTTAAATTTCTAGGAAGTGAGTTCTAGGTTTACTTAACCTGGTGGAAGTAAGTTTGTGATTGTCTTAACCAGCCAGGATATGAGTTGGAGGTTGAAGAAGTGAGTTTGTGATTGTCTTAACCAGCCAGGATATGAGTTGGAGGTTGAAGAAGTGAGTTTGTGATTGTCTTAACCAGCCAGGATATGAGTTGGAGA